GTCTCTGTCTGTCTACCTCGTTCCAGGGCCCATTCAGGGCTCCACCTCAAAGACGACACAATCTACTTGAATGTCTGCTTGGTTCCTGACCACCTGTCAAACAGACGGGCGTAACGGCGGCGTATCACCAACCCCCCGCATTGTCAGCCGAGGGGTCCAATGCTCATCTCCAACAACTCTGATCGCGATCCTCGCGTCTCTCGGAATTATGGTCCACAACTACCGTCTATGTACATCTGTCTCATTGTAAATCTCCTAATTGAATACATATATAATTTGATTGATACGCACCGAACCCTAAATTCGGTGGACTAGGCCATCGGGTGACACAATCTATACGAATTTGGAAAAAAGAGCTGCGCAAACCGAAGGAGATTAGAAATGAAATGACGTCGTAGCGGCATCCGGCCTTGTTCGTGCCCGAGAACCGTGGCGCTAATCACAAAAACGCGGCATCAAATACAAAAAAGGAAAAAAAAAAACACAAGGGGCTTCCTCCTAATAATGAGATTCCAAGGAACCTCGTGCACTCATTTTCTCGCGCCACACTCAATCTTAGGTTGTAGTCAGACGTCTTGAAAAGGATAATGACAAGTCAATATCTTGAGACTCGCCAGCAACAGGTGATATTATCCTCCGACCCTCAACCTCTGCGGATCTGTGACGTTTTCCGTTTATCCTCCGTGTCCCCTCCATGTCAAAACCTGTTCGGATCTCGGACCGCTATTCAGCACTATCCCCATCTTCGTAACTACGTTTCTTTTCATGGGTAGTGGATTGTATCTGAAAAAATATCTCAAGGTATATGGTCCTAACGTAATTGGATACACACTTGTCATGTCAACCCCTTATAAAGATCATTTTGATTCGCGATAAGCGTAGAGTTTGACGGTGGTTGTTCTTTACCCGATTCATCATGAGCTACCGACAAACTTTTTTTTTTTTTCGTCGTAACAAGTCAATAATTTGTGTTAAAGACGGAAGGAACTCGTATCGGCAGCCTCGAGAGTCGTCATGCACACATATCTGGGGTTACTGATCATTTCTGAGTACACCCTGATCATCAGGTCATAAGACTTCCGGTAGTAAGACTTTCCCTGAAAGGTTAAGGACACAAGTCGTCTATCAAATTGAGACCCGTCCCAAAACGATTCCCGGAGACAAGGTTATGACATAAATGGAGCCTAAGGCATTCCAGGGTTAGTTTTTCCCACTAGGCCAACTTTGTAAATGCCCCCGACCGATGTCTCCAACCTCCAGAAACAAAAGATGGTGGAACCTGGTCCGAGCATTCCGATAGCTAGAAGAATCGACACGCAATCATCAGGGGTGACAATGACTAGTTTCCGTAGGATTTACCTTCTTTTTATAATGATAGCCTACGGCCCTGCCCTTTGCCCCTTACGATTCACAAAGGGAGGCGGGAATGCGTCTCCCTCCCCAGGCATACAAAGTAGCAGGCCCCGAAGAGAGGGCTGCAGAGGAGAGGAGAGGGAGGATTCATAAGAGAATTAAATTAGGAATTGAACCTTTTTTTTTTTTTACCCCCATGAGGGGTACGTTTTAACCTTTTAAACTACTTGACCCAAAATATTCAATCAGTCTCTTGTCTCCCAAGTCTGGGTCTGGTGCCCCTACCCTTTTCCCAACCTCTGAATCATAAAATGTATCGCGAAGAATTATTAATTCGCTAGAAAAAGACATGATAGATTGTCCAACAAAATACTCCGGAAGGACACATTCATTATTTTTAGAATTATACGTCACAAGTGAGTAATATACCCGGTACTGTGGTATATCATTCCATTCGCTTGATCATCAACGTACCTTCCTGAACAAAAGGAAGAAAACAGGTGTTTCGGATCGAAAAGAGAGGAAACTGTAAATTTCAAGGATTACCATGAGAGAATCAGAGGACCGAGGAATAAACGATTCCGTAGAGATCGACCTAGCCAATGCCTCAAATTACTCAAAATCGTAGATTCGATAGTTTCGAGCAGTTTCTGTTGACTTGACAGAAGACCCTGCCTTTGATTACGAAAACGTCATGCGCGGCACTGAAACAAAGCAAGTCATCCCAGATCCCGTCACGCTGTCGTTTCACATGAAATTTGATATATGTGTACCGAAGCCTGGGAGGAAACATGCGACTGTACTGCGTTCAGCTTTTAGCGTCATGTCAGAGAGAGGGCTTGCCGATATCAAGGGAATTGATTATCACAAAGAATCAGACGGGGGCAAGGGGTGAGAAGATTCAGAGTCCTGCATGGCCGTGCTCAGGCTTGCGTACATTGGCTCTTCCTCACACCAGGGCTGTGTCGCCGGGCGTGCAGTGCAAAAGTCTATGTTTGAACATGCAATGACATGTTTGCACCAGGGGTGAGAGAACCAAATAATTGAAATAGCACTCGCCGAGGCATCCGAGGAGGTCAGCTTAGGCGACCGTCGCCCAAGGACAGAGTCCCTCGAGATGAGCATGCCGACATACGCATATACTAACAAGGACCCGTACCCACTGGCTGTATTCTTTGCCCTATTTTTTCTTCATCAGCAGTCGTCACCTCTGGAACTCTTAATTGCCTGTCATGGGTCTTCCACTTATCACCATTCCATTCCCCTAGATTTGCAAGATGAAGTGCCCATCGTTAGACATATACTCCGGGTTCGACACAAGTTGATGGAAGAAAGGAGGTTTTCTACGCTAGACGCGATCTAAATCCACAAGTTTGAGGCCAATCTACTCCGTTCAGCATATAACTGACAAGTTTCAAGCGTAAGTACATATCTTGAGCCGCCGGCGTCAGTAAACGGCCTCCACAAAGCGTAGAGCCGAGCTGCATGTGCTATCATCCCGAGGTTCAAGCGGATCATGACAAGAGACGTGATGACGAAGGGCATTGTAAGGCTATCCGTAAGTCTCTCGGGATGGTTCGTAATCCAGATAACCAAGGAAAATTACCCGAGTGTCAAAAAGAACAAAACATTCCAAATTTGGTTGGTCGATGCCGTGCTTCTTCGAATTTTTTGACATACAATCTCAGGATGGAGGCATCAAGCCACCGAACAATGGGACTCATGCATATGTAAGTGAGCATCACCGTCGGAACGCGTCCAAAAACATGTTCCCATCTTGACCCCAGAACGGGTGCAGGACGATCTGTGGTAAAAATACACACCACATGAAGTTATAGAAAGTGAGCCGGCGGCAGGTTCGTGCGACGAATGGAAAGACGGACTTAGATTTGCGATCGCGAGCCCAACTGACACATCATCAATTCAAAGGCCTAGAGCAATCCTATCAACCTGTCGATGCTGGGCTCAGTTCTCCTATGCAGCTTGTATCTGATCGGATCCAGAGTACGAGGTCAGACTTTCTATCAAAACGGTCCTTACGAAGAATTTCAGCCATGGTCCGCATCAAGAGGAACGCGAGCCACGGGACCATGGCAGCATTTGAGGCCTCTGACGTTCGTTCAAGGCAAATACGTAGAACCGGAAGCGTTGCCCTCTACAGAGTCTAACCTTCGTCACATCTTTCGAGCCTTTGAATTGCTGAGTTGAGGTCCCCCTTCCATCGTTATGCACGGAGTCTTTATATCAAACAAGGAACGAATCTCATGGCAGCTACTCGTCCATTCCAGCGTCCCTTGTCAGCTGTCTCCACCCTGTATTTACTCTTTTAATTGACTGTGCCTATTACATGACAAGCCTATGTCTAGCTTAGCATGAACTCACGTGTCCTCAGAAGCAGCCTCAATCGAAAGAGTGATATGCTCAATTTGGTTCTCGAGCTTCGCCCACCTGGCTTTCGATTCAAGATGTCAACAAGTATCAATGGGCACCAGACATCCTATAAGAATAAGACCTGCCGTTACCACCCTCTTCGTGTCCTTGTACACGCCAAGGTTCAGCAATGCCAATCCGAGTCGTACTCCCTTGCCTCCAAGACATGTTTGCCAGCTTTCCTAGGCGTACGAAGACTTCACTTGTTACACCCACTACTTCAGCTCTGGTGTTAACTAGCAGTGAATCAACACTCTTGCTCACCGAAAGCGATACCTTGACTTCCAGCACATTATACTCGTCTACATCCTCCCGTGACAATTGTACGGTCAGCCAGTCATCCAACTTCATTGTCTGCATTCCCATCGTTCCTGGGGTCAGTTTTGCCATATAAATGTGCCGGCATAGTCTATTACTCACATCCTTTCAGCTGTGGTTCTAGTCGATGAGCAGTTTCGTTCAACTGAAAGCTCTTCTTCTGTTGCAATCTTGGTGAGATCTCTGCCGTCCCTCACACTAAATTTTACTCAGCCATAGCTTGTGTCGTGGACGTCTCTCAGTTTTCCGTGCGTGCTGAGATGGGCTGCGGGCAAACCCCTGTTCCTTATCTTCGATATCACCGATTTAACGACACGCCCCTAATTCAAACCACGTTCCTTCTATACCGGTTATAACCTGATACCCAATCTGTACTTGCTATGTACTCTTCTTGTCTATGCCTTACATTCATACTATGTCACATGTCTTCGACTTCGGCAATGTCTTTGGGGAGCGTTCGGAAGCGCAGCCTCCGAGAAATAGTATAGGAATCGATTCTCCACCTGCATTCCTTGCTCAGTTCCTGGTCCCATGTGCTCCTGCACTCAAGGTGACGCTTACGTTGCTTCTGGAACATTCTTGGACGATGTGTGCCTCTGCAGAAACAAGACTTCCACTCAATAGCTACTAGAACGAAACCCATCTAAAGTCTGGGGTGGGGATCTTGTATTAAACCAGGAACGACGAGCTTCCGTCATCAAATTGATTCTCTGCCACCAGTATTCTTAACATACTTTCTGGTGGCAATGAATTAGATCCTGATATGTACTATCCACTAGGACTTACACCTCTTCATGTGCTTGTCCTGTGGAGATGCTGTTGTAGCCTGTTTGTCTGTTTCTTGCGCCACAAGATTGGGCTACAAATTTGCATTGTCATGGAGATCTTTCAAAGACCAAGCCGCTGTAGCACAATGGTAGTGCGTTGCTTTCCTACAATGTTATTCCTAGGCAAAGGTTGTGGGTTCGATCCCCATCAGCGGTTGTGAGAGCTAAGATACAGTTATTTTTATTTGACAAACAAATACATCCAAACTTGGCGGCACGTGTCAGCTGGTCACTCTTTTCCCTCGGACGCGTGTGACTTAAGTAGTCCGTATTGACATGACCGTCAATCCAAAGGCTATGGAACGCGCCGACAACGTGTCAATCGCGTCGGCGCACGACGAGCAACAATATCTCCGACTCATCCGACTCGTCCTCGATGCGGGCGACGTCCGACCAGACCGCACGGGAACAGGCACCATCTCTATCTTTGCTCCACCATCCCTCCGTTTCTCTCTCGCCAACTCCACGCTCCCACTACTCACCACAAAACGTACCTTTCATCGCGGCATTATTGAGGAACTCCTCTGGTTTACCCACGGCTCCACGGACTCGACGCTTCTTTCAAAGAAAGGCGTCAAGATCTGGGATGGGAACGGTTCACGCGCGTTTCTGGACAGCAGAGGGCTTCAGCATCGCCGAGAGGGTGATTTGGGCCCTGTTTACGGATTTCAGTGGCGACACTTTGGTGCTGAATATATAGATTGCGAGAAGGACTACACGGGCGAGGGTGTCGATCAACTACAGGAGTGTATCAAGAAGATCAAGGAGAATCCGACAGACCGAAGAATCATACTTAGTGCTTGGAATCCCAAAGGTACGCTATCAATGTCATAGGACTTGCGATTAGTTTGATATATTGTCTATAGATATACCACATATGGCCCTTCCACCATGCCACATGATCTGTCAATTTTACGTTCACCTTCCCCCAGCTGCGACACCAGAGGTCAAACCAAAACTATCATGTCTCATGTATCAGCGCTCTGCCGACTTGGGCCTTGGAATCCCATTCAACATTGCCTCGTACGCGCTGTTAACACATATGATCGCGCACGTCACTGGTACCGACGCGCATGAACTCATCATCCAACTGGGCGACGCACACGTGTATAGGGACCATGCTGAGGCGTTGGAGGAGCAAGTCAAGAGGGAACCTAGACCGTTCCCCAAGCTACGATGGGCAAGAGAAGGGATCAACGACATTGAGGAGTTTACATACAGTGATTTCGTGATTGAGGGCTATGAGCCTCACCCTCCGATCGCGATGAAGATGAGTGTCTGATGGATAGACTGGCCAGATTTTTTTCAATGTATCTCGGTATTTTGTAGACTATACACTACTTACTTTTGCTCATGAGTCGAGTCGTGAAGCCCTGAGGCCTGGCCTGAATTATGACATCACGTGCGGATGCCCGATACGATATTTAATCATTCAATCATATTGTCGTCGTTGATCTCCACTATTTCCATCCAATGGACAATTTCAAAGAGTTTCTTGCCAGAGTGCCCCCTGGATACCACTGGCCTGTGAGCTTCTGCTCAGTCGTTACAGTCGTCGTATGGATCGCGTCTCTCATCACCTCAAACGTTTCCCAAGTCGATCGGCTGTGGACGTTCCTGCCGTTCATCTACACCGCCTACTATGCTCTTTTGCCTCTATGGCCACAAGAACCTTCATTCTTTCTGTGTCCATACACACCAAAGAGTCTTGGTTGGGCAACAGCCAGAGATTTCAGTCCCAGGGCAGTCTTGATGCTTGGGCTAGTCTTTTTGTGGATGGCTAGGTACTTCAGGATCTTGAGCTGGTTTTCGACTTTGCTAACCTTTTTTAACTACAGACTCTCGTATAATACCCACCGACGCGGTCTCTTCAGGCTGTAAGCCCCTGTTCGTTTCTCGTTTCACATTAGGTCTCATATTTTCACAGAGGGGATGAAGATTATCGCTGGGCTATCCTCCGCACCAAAGTACCCCCGTGGCTTTTCCAAGTCATCAACCTCACGTTCATCGCTGCGACTCAAAACGTCCTTCTACTTCTCCTCAGTTTCCCAACTAAAACTGCATCTACCTTTCAACCACATACTCCTCTTGCCACGTCGGATTACATCCTCGCTGCACTTGCGCTGGTAGATTTGGCGGCTGAATTCACCGCAGACAATCAACAGTGGGCATTCCATCAATATAAGCACGCGTATCTGGCCGCCGAAAATGGCAAGGGAATATCTAAAGTCGATTTCTACGATAAGAAGAAACAATGGCTTGGATCCGGTTTAGACTTCACCCCAACAGATGCTAAACGCGGTTTTGTGACTCGTGGTCTGTGGGCATACTCACGCCACCCCAACTTTCTCTGCGAGCAATCCTTCTGGGTATGTCAATATTATTTCCCAACCAATCAAATATCCCTAACAAACACGCAACCAGTGGATAATCACTCTATTCCCCCTTCTTTCCCCTTCAAAGCCGGACTTTATTTTCACCTCCTTCCCATGGCATCTAATCCCCTCCCTCTCCGCCATCTTTCAAAACTTCCCCTATGCACTTTACCCCCTCCTAGCCCATCTTTCCGAGCCCCTTGCCAACCTTGCACCCGCCCTCGCACTCTCCCTACTCTTCTTCTCCTCTACTCTCTTTACAGAGTCCATCAGCGCGGGCAAATACCCGAAGGAATACAAGGCGTATCAGGAACGCGTAGGCATGTTTAGCCCACTGGGTACGTGGGAGAAGGGTCTCATGCTTGCCTGGCGTGGGCGGAAGAAAGAGGTCGATGGAATCGTTTGGGGTGAGGGAGATAAGGAAAAGAAGGAGTAGATGATTTTGAGAGAGCTTGAGGTCAAACACGGGCTTTTGTGTGACTATTATTATTAGGACCGTTTCTGTTTGTGTACATTATTCATTGGACCTGTATTATCAAGCAATTTCGAGAAAAGACTAGTGAGTTCCGCGCGATATTGTGTGCTTGGTGCGTTAGATGCGAACCCTTAGGGTAGCGGTTGCAGTCTTCTTAAGTTGTGCTATAAGTAATATCTTGAGGCTGAGGCTGTTATCTTCAAGTACTGAGAGTCTTACCATCAGCTGCGGCTGGCGCTGTTCAGTTTGACGGCAACTCATTTTTCCGCATATCAGTGTTCTTGTTGTTACCGACATGTAGTATCATGCATACGCTATGACAAAACCAAGATACTATGTACCCCAATACACTCACCAGCGATTGCAGATAGTTATGACGAAGAATATCTCGAGTGATCCAGCTCTCGAGAGCTCATCGTCAAAGTGACTGGCGATCATTCCCTTACACTAAACCCACCGTAAAAGCAATCAGGCCTGAAATAGCCAAGGATACACCAGTTGAAGACATTGCCGACCCACGATCGAGAGCAGAATTCTTTTTCGTCGGAACAGAGGCATGTGTGGTCGTAACTGTGGAAGTAGACGTTGCTGATGTAGATGAGGACGTTGTCGGCGCGGGGGTTGCGGAAGTTGCTACGTTCTTGGCGATAGCATCAGAAGCAGTAGACACCAACTCTGGAGGGATCCCGCCATCCGTAGAAGAGGTCAGCATACGGGGATACAGACATAATCCCCACTAGTACTACTCACCAACAAATGACGGGCCACAAAGATCAGTGGCATATTCGATGTCGCTGGCCGAGAACGAACCAGGCATCGTTTGGTTCATCAAGGTGAATGCACCCTTCATACAGCTAGTGCAGACGACGCTGGAGGGAAAACCCTTCTTGACTAAGTTGGCGATCGAAAGGATGTTCGTGGCGTTGAGATTCATGGTACCAATAAGCATCTCGATGTTCCTCAGCGTTCCCGTAACACAATTGATGCCTCCACTACTGGAACTATCCCGTCTTCAGAACGCGTCAAGCATAGATACACAAGCATAAAAGACTCACTCATTTAAGCACGCGACCTTCCGCACAGTCTTATACCCTGCCTTAACAGTCGCAATCGTCTGTTGTACGCGAGACGAGGAGAGACCGAACTCGTCAGAGCACCCCGTGGTAAGGCTGCTGAGGACAGCGGTGAGAGTATCATCGCTACACGCCGGGGCACTACACATGTTCCCGAGCCAAGTATCGAGATATCCAATGGCCGACTCCGGGCCATTTCCGGCGCCTATCATGATTGGGAGGAGCTGGGCGGGCTGCAAGCACGTACGGGCGATAGGATCCTATCCGATAGCCATGAGTGTGTTCATGCATCCAATCGAATATCTACCCATCGGTAACGTGTTGCGTCAGTTTCTTAAGAATGGAACCAGTATATTGGGACATACGAGTTTGCAGATACGAAGCCAACCAGGGCAGCGATCGTGATGGTGCGGAACATATTTGGTTCAAGAGGAGTGACCGTTCAACGGTGTAAAGAGGGCGAACTGAGATATCAAATCTAAGGAATTTTTCATGCGTGCGAAGTCCTTTTATAGTCTCCATGGGTGCTACAATTTCTGTTTCAGAATCATCAACCCTACAGGAGCCCTCAGGAGCAAATCGGGAGACTTCAGGAGATCACAGGAGATCGCTCGGGACCAAAAGCAAAAGGGGCTTGATGGGATACGTGATCCACTAGCTAAATGATATGGTTGAACATCTTCGTCTATGATTTATTTGTGCAGCTGAAAAAGCTCTGTGGTTCAGTCGGAAGCAAGGATCCAGGTGGAAAAGAAGAATGACTTAGCGCGACCTTGGATCATCAACATTTCAGCTTCAAGACTCAAGTTGGCTTCAAGACTCGAATAAGGTCGCGACTCCTAATTAATCAGAGAACCGACCGAGGCCGAATACATCACGGGCTTACCGGACGGATGAAACACAAGAGTTGAACACAGAGTTCGGAGAGGTATGCGGTATTCGATTTCAAGTGATCTAAACACGATGCATTTGAAAACTAACCTAACGATACAGCAATAACAATCATAGCCAGTGCACTCAACATAGCACCAAGGCCAGTTGCAGAATTATCCAGCACACCAGTAACAGCAGCCTTAGTCTCATTAGCCGCTGACGTTCCTATAGACATAAGTTGTCAACACTTCAATTCCACCCGTGGGAAAAGCTAAAAACACGAACTAGTAGTGTTGATGTTACACATCTCTGTAAGACGAGGGAACGTGGAGTCCACCGAGCCCGGCAAATCATTTTGTAT